AGTCTCCAACTCCTGGCCCTGGCTAGTCTCCTGCCTCAGCCTGCCTAGCAGGCTCTCTGTGCACACCAGCACACCTGGCTAGTTGTACATGCTTCTGATGAAAAAGAGATGGTGAGATGATTTTTTTAAATGTATAGATGATCTCTAAGATTCTTTGCAACTCTATTATTCTAATGCCTGTTCCAGGGTAAAGTTGAGTGTTTAGAAAAGAGACTAACTTTGTGATTTTTGTCAGGCTAGATACAACAGAGATTTGGAGTCTACAGCTATTAAGATGTTTTTCTTTCTAGAATCTATGCATAATACATGAAATAGTCAAGGTCAAACCAGCTCCATAAGAACAAAAAGGCCCTTCCCAACACTGATTGATTCACGGGTATGGGTTTTTGAAATGTAAAGGTTTTCAGAGTTTAAGGTAAACAAAGTCACATTTCCTGACACGTGAAGAGCTTATAGGGATGTAGTACAGGCCAACAAAACAACACTCTGAGCTGAGAGACATGTGATCCTTATTACTTCTGAGGTGCACATTCACTCACGTATTAACATTTCTGAATTTGGGATTCTGTATCCTGAACTTAAGGGTGCCTCATGATGGTTTGCCACTACATCTGAATAGGTCTAAAAGATCTCTTTCAATATATACAAATAAAAAGTGAGAAGAAAGGACCTTGCCAGCATTTAATCATCAGTGTCTTCTTCTTTCTTGGTAATATGTAAAATAATGAGACAGCTTCCAAGCCAGAGTTCTTAGAACCGGTAGAAGGTGCTATGTGATCCTAAAGGGAAGGTATGGGGAGGCTCCTTAGAGGAAGCAATGTCTGCAGGAAACAGGACATAATGGAAAACACAGTGTTTTTCAAGAACAGCAGGGGGTTAGCTGGGATACCTGGAGAGGAGAATAAAAGGGAGCAAGCTGTCTAATGCTCAGGCCTAAGAGAACTTCTCAGCGAATGTTCATATGCAGAACCTGGTGTACTGGGAAGTGTTCCTTCTGCCACCACAACACAAGAGCAGGTTAACACTGCTGCTGCCTCCCCTCCTCAGTGAGACTCTGGACATCATTGGCAAAGCAGAAGGCCCCCCCTATAGAGCTGCCTTCCTAGGGCCTGGCCTGTGCTACCATCTACCTCTACAGAGGAGCACCGTGCACAGCCGGGCAGGGCCCTTGCTCAGCCAGTGGACTGGCAAACGGCAGTGCTGGAATTAGATCCCACCCTTGTTGGCTGGGAGGAAGCCTGAGTTTTTCACACAGCATTTCAAAAATAGGCCTCCTGTGAAAGGTGCATCTAAAAGAAAGTCAGAGGGCAAGGGTCCACTGAGGTGGACATCAGGCCAATAAAAGGTGAGCCCCGCTCAACCTGAGAGAAAAGTTTACGCATTCAACAGCCATTTTCTATGGGCATTTTATAAAAGCAGCTTCCTGGGATCCTCTAGAGCTGTTAGAAACACAACAGGTGACAGCCCATAAATGTAATAGCCTTTAGATCACTAAATTAACAAAAGGAGAGAAAATACACACAAGAGAACCCTCAGCAAGAAGCCGCCCTGCATCTTTAGAGGAACAAATAAAGGCAAACTCAATCTCGCTTTCTAATTGTCTTATTAAATCCACGGTCGGCAGCAGTAGTGTGCTACAGCCTCCAACTCTGCTTAAACAGCGACCAGATCCTGTGACCTGAAACTGCTGAAGGACCAGCTAAGAAGAAATGGAAAATGTCAAAGGGTAAGTTGAGAAATCATGTGAGTACCAGTTTATATCTCTACTTACTTTTATATTTCTGTTAATGATTTAAGAGAAATTCATTGTATACCATACTGTAACCAAATGCACAAAGAGAAATAGTTAAACTGACAGCCAGTTTGTGAATATAAGTCACACTATAAAAATAAAGCAGACTTAATTCACTGAGAAATATGGGAAATAATAACAATAAATTAAGTTAGTTTTCATATAGATAAATACAGTATTTGTATAAATATAGCAAACAGAGTATATTAATATAAATTGGTTCCACCTTAACAAAAATGAAACCTTAAAACTTCCAGACAGACCCACCATAGAAACACTGTGTTGGTCATGGAAGTTCTGTTTGCTTTTATAATCTCCTGGACTAGAGAGTTTTCTCTGATGCATTCAAGAATTACAAAACAGCCGGGCACGGTGGCATACTCCTCCAATCCCAGTGGCTTGGGAAGCTGAGGTGGGAGGGTCGAGAGTTCAAAACCAGCCTCAGCAATTTAGCAAAGCCCTATGTCTAAATAAAAATATAAAAAGGGGAAGGGATGTGGCTCAGTGGTGGAGCATCCCTTGGTTCAATCCCCAGTACAAAAAAAAAAAAGAATTACAAAATAAAAACAATTCATACAACAGAAAAGACCTACCTATGAAGTGTCCAGATCCCTTAGCCATGTGACATTGGGGAAAACTTATAAAGATGCAGGAAGGTGGGCTGTGTCTATAGCTCAGCTGGTAGAGCGCTCTCCTAGCACATGTGAGGCACCATATTAAAAAAAAAAAATGAGATAAAGGTATTGTGTGTCCATCTACTATAAATTTTTTTTTAAAGATGCAGAAAGGTAAAATAAATGGTGGGTAAATAAACCAGCAGCAGGTGATGATAGATATTGTAAATTACAATCACATGATCACATGACAAAAAAGAGGACATTAAGATGTCAGATGCCCAGTAGAGGAGAGGAAGAGCAATGGGGGAGGGACTAGCGGTGGGAAAGGAAGTACTGGGGACTTAAATGGAGCATATTACATTCCATGTGTGTGTGATTAGGCCAAATGAACCCCACTACCATGTATAACTGCGATGACTAATAAAAACAGTTTTAAAAAGATATAGGATGATGTGCAGAACAGCAGTGTGCAAAGCAACAGCCTATAAAATGTTAAGAGAAGCCCACCTGGAGTAGATACAGTGGTAAAGGCAACGCTAAAAATAAACCAGATAAATTAAATTGCCTTAAGGGAAGAGGAGAAAATATTGAAGCGCTCCAGGCACCTGTAAGAAGCAGCCTTCTCCAGGGTCAGCCTTAGGTCACTCACTGTAAGACACAAAGAAGTGGCACAGAAAACCCTAAGGGTGACAGCAGCTCTGAGCTATTTTTCTCAGTGCAGGGAAGGTTTCCTTACAGTTATCTAAACAAATTGCTTCAAAGGAAAAACTATAAGTTTGATTCTGCTGATAGCAACACATTCACTCCAATATTCTAAGGCAGCAGCACAAACATCTGAATAAAGAAGTGATATCCTCATGAACTAAATAAAATATCCCATGAATATTCTTTGTGGGGGATTTAAGAAGAGGATGGGAAAATTTTAGAAAAAAATACATAAGAGAGACAGGTTGGTTTTTGTCGTCAGTCCCTCCCCTCCCCACCCCCAGCCCTAGAGCTCCAAAGCGCATCTGCTCTGAGTCAGAGTTTATTAACAGCAGGCCCCACAGTGGGAGAAGCCATTAGGTTCCTGCAGCAAAGACTCGGCTCTGTATGGCTTATAAAGTTGCATGAAGGGAGGTTTTCTTACCACATTTTTTTCTAAAGCACAAAATCCCTAACTTTCAGGAAAAAGATGTTTTACAGATATGAATCGTCCAGAGACCATACGAGCAGCATTGAGTCCATCACACTTTTATTTAACACATATTTTGAGCCAAGTAGGATAGTAGTCAGTATAATAAAACCATCTAATGCTACATTTCAAAACTAGATAAAATGTCAAATTATACTACCATTGAAATTTTTAGGTTTATTCTCCCATATGAAAAATTCAAAAGTGCATCATTTTTGAGTCAAAATCAGAGTTCTGCTTGACATAACCTAATTAGGGTCAGACATTAGCTGCCTTCTGTATGCCATGACTACGCCTTAGTGACTCCGTTGCCACTTAAAGACAACAACTGGTACATGCTTTCAGTCAAATATTCCCAACAGCTCATTCCTCAAAAATCAATGTTCCCAGGCTGGGGGTGTTGCTCAGTAAAGGTAAAGCACTTGCCTAGCATGAGCAAGGCCTTAGGTTCGATCCCAGCAATGCAAAGAAAAAAGAAAAAAACAAAAAATCAATGTTCCTCAAAATGAAGCCAATCTATTTGGAGCCAGAAAGCTACTCTAACCTTTACAGTACCATTTTCATTCCATTCGCTTGTTCTTCCAGAATACTGGTTACAATAACGTAGAAAAAATAACAGGGAAAAATAAATGTAAACTATAGTGTCTATTCATCTTGTTTTGCTCTCTCTCCTTTTTTATTTTTTTTACACAATGCCTTTATTTTTATTTGTTTTTATTTTTATGTGGTGCTGAGGATTGAACCCAGGGCCTCGCACGTGCTTGGAGACCACTCTAGTGCTGAGCCACAGCCTCAGCCCCTCTCTCCTTTTAATTCAACATAATCTCTTATTGCTCCTCTGGAAAATATTAGATACCACCTCTCGTTAGGTACACATTCTCTTTTAGGAAACAAAAGAATGTCTAATATCTTCAGTTATTTATTTCTAGAAGGTATATTGGTTCGTCTGAAGAAATCAATTTACTATTAGAGGCATTGTGGTTTAGAATTACAGAATCTCAGAACTACAAAAACTAAAAAAGGAAATTATTTAAAGAACCATAAACTCTGGAGAAGTGGTCAACTCATGGTCATGTAGTTAGTAAATGAAAAATTGAAGAATATATTCCATGTCCAGGCCAGTGGTCTTCCATACTCTTCTGCCTCATTAACATCAATGACTGGCCATGTGTCTTGATCTTCCTTTGTGTAAGATGTCAGATCTTAGCCAATCTGAGACCACCCTTTTGTCCCACCAACCTGGAGACTGAACCCAGGCCCTGGCCCAGGCTAGGCAATCGCTCTACCACTGAGCCACACTCCCAGCCCATTAAGTCTTATATCTTATCAATTTCCTGTCCCTGAGCCTAAAGTCTTAGAAGGTTACAAATGTTTAACTTTAAATTAAGGTCAGACCAAGTACTTTCATCATATTTACCTCTCATGGGAGATTTCATGGCGGCTTCTACCATCCCCACCAGAAGCTGGAGGCTCTTGGGGTCTTGAGCCAGTCCAGATGCGAAGGCTGCCAGGGCATCGGCATGACGTCCAAGGTACTGGAGGGCAACACCCTGTCGGAAGTATGCCTGGAAACAGAGGAGGACAATGCGAGTTACCCAGCGGGGCTGACTGGGGTTCTTCAGTAGAATAAACAGGTCAGCAGAACCAAAGTGGATGGCCTCGGTCCAAAAAGAAGACAGGCGGTTGGTAACCAAATGAATGGAGTTCTTCTAAGATCATCAAATGTGAGCATCCTCACTTTCAGAACTTTCATTCTTTTTACTTTTGGGACACTCTTTTTTTTTTCTGGGGGTTGCTAGGGAGAACTCAGGAGCACTGGACCACTGAGCCACATCCCCAGCCTTGTTTTGTATTTTATTTAGAGACAGGGTCTCACTGAGTTGCTTAGCACCTCACTGATGCTGAGGCTGACTTTAACCTCAGGATCCTCCTGCCTCAGTCTCCCCAGCTGCTGAGATGATAGGCAAGTACCACTGCGCCCAGCTGGGACACTTCTTAATTTTATCATATTCCTTGGCATTTACCCCCATAATAAAAATATATTTAAAAAATCTTCTATGCCATCTTTAATTCCATAAGCCCCTGAAGGACAGTTCTTTATCTCTTTCCAAAGTATATGGTACAGTGCATAATAAGTAAGAGAGAAATTCAACTTATTTTGAATTTTCTCCCTTCTGTAATTAAAAGGAAAAATATCAATTTGTGATTACTATTAAGATAACTTTAATAATGAGTAACATAACATGCTTATGTACTTTTTAAAAAATATTTTGTTACTGTTAATAGACCTTTATTTCATTCATTTATTTATATGTGGTGCTGAGAATCAAACCCAGTGCCTCACACATGCTAGGCAAGCGCTCTGCCTCTGAGCCACAACTCCAGCCCCTGCTTATGTACTTTTAACGTTGTGTTTCAGATGCAGTATTTAAAAAATTACTTAAAATATATGTTTTTCAAAAATCAACTTAAAGTGGATCAAGGAAGTAGGCATTAGACCAGAGACCCTGCCCCTGATAGAAGAAAGTGTAGGCTCAACTCTCAATCATGTCAGCTTAGGAACTAACTTGACAAGACTCCTAAAGCACAAGAAGTAAAATCAAGAATCAATAAACAGATGGGATCAAACTAAAAAGCTCCTTCATAGCAAAGAAAACAATCAAGAATGAGAAGAAAGAGTCTACAGAATGAGAGAAAATCTTTGCCACCTGCACCTAAGAAAGAGTATTAATCTCCAGGATATAAAAACAACTCAAAAAACTTAAAAAACACACACATTAAAAAATAAAAAACCTAATCATGTGGCCACATCAGTATTTATAGCAGCTCAATTTACAAAATGGGAAACCCAGGTACTTCACAGAAGAAAAAATAAAAATGGTCAACAAATATATAAAAATGGTCTAGCAATTAGAGAAATGCAAATTAAAACTCACTTCAGTCAGAATGGCAACAATCAAGAAGACAAGTAACAATAAATGTTGGCGAGGATGTTGGGGAAAAAGCACACTCATACATTGCTGGTGAGACTACAAATTGGTGCAACCACTCTGGAAAGCAGTATGGAGATTCCTCAGAAAACTTGGAATTGGACCACCATTTGACTCAGTTATCCCACTCCTCAGCATATACTCAAAGGACTTAAAATCATCATCCTACAGTGATGCGGCCACATCAGTATTTATAGCAGCTCAATTTACAAGAGTCAAGCTATGGAGGCAACTTAGGTGCCCTTCAACAGATGAAGAAAAATGTACATATATATAAGGGACTCAGCCAAAAAAAAAAGAGTGATTTTATGACTTTTGCCGTTAAATGGATGGATCTGGAGACTATCATGGAGACAAAATAAGCCAGTCCCCAAAAAACCAAAGGTTGAATGTTCTCTATGATATGTTGATGCTAACACTCAGTAAGAAGGAGAGGGAAAAATAGAAGTTCATTGTATTAGACAAAGGGGAATGAAGGGAAGGGAGGAGGATGAGAAATAGGAAAGACCAAAGAATGAATCAGAAACAACTTTCCTATGTACATATATGAATACACGACCAGTGTAACTTATCATGTACAACCACAAGAATGGGATCCTAATTAGAATAGTCATACTCCATGCATGTAGAATATATCAAAATACATGCTACTGTCATGTATATTTAAAAAGAACAACATTTTAAAAATCACGTAGGAGCATAAAAGGAAAAAAAAAATGTGTGCTTTGCTTAAAAAAGGTTTTTGTCCGCTGTGTCTTTTAACTAGATTAGTTTTAAAACTAGTATAATCATCTGTGATGATAGTAAAACATTCCCCTTTATAGATAACTGAAGAAAGGATAAGTGAGTTAAGAAAATATTTAAACTGAGAATTTAAATATTTGAATTTTAGAATAGTTTTAAAAAACTGCAGTTTGTGGCCAGGCACAGTGGTGCACCCCTGTAACCCCAGCAGCTCGGGAGGCTGAGGCAGAAGGATTGCAAGTTCCAAGTCATCCTCAGCAAAAGTGAGGTGCTAAGCAACTCAGTGAGACCCTGTCTCTAAATAAAATACAAAATAGGGCTGGGGATGTGGCTCAGTGGTTGAGTGCCCCGACTTCAATTCCTGGTACTCCAAAAAAGAAAAGAAACTGCAGTTTGTTTTCAAGTACACAGAGTAAACCCAAGTATATGGACAACATATTATAGTATGTAACCAGCAAAGGGCCCTGTACCCAATTAAATAATGCATTAAAATGACATATTATTAATGCATTCATTGCTTATATGACAACATCTGCTTCTAAAATAGTTGGCTTCCTATTCCTTCTAAACATTCTTACAATACTGTTTATGACATAAACTTGACCTTTTCAGTCCAACATACTTAAGACATTTTCACTATTTGTACTCACGGAATCTAAATGAAGTTTCAAACTCTTAAAACTACTCCTCAGTAAGCTTAGCATATAATTTTACATCACAAGTACACACAACACAGAGAATAAGAGAGTAAGGACCTTTCATGTTTGCAAAATTTATTTACTTATTCCATTTTTATAACAATACTTTAAGCAAGACAATGCTATTCAGGGCTCCCATTAAGAAGCAATCCATAAACGCAATGAATACTCAAATTATTACAGGCTATTCAGGCCTCTGTTAGTTAAAACTATCAGCAGCTGTTAAAACTCAGACCCCAGAAAGACAATAACCTGTAAATGCACTTTCATTACTAATTCATAAGATCAGTTGGTTTCCCTGGTCTCAGCCTTTGTTTTAATCTTTAATGTGTTTACAGACATTTTTCATTTACCCCCTTCATTTCACATTTTAGGTGGTTTCTATAATCCCAAAAGTAATACACAGTATGTTCCAACTCAAAACAACTATAGTTTATATAAGTCTAGAAGTGTTCTATTAAAGCTTAACTAAAAATGTATATTTATATACATATGTACATATATTCATATATAAATATACCAAATGCCTATAAACTGATTACTATTTACAGAACAAGACAAATGGTATCTGTAGTGACTGATTTTGTGTAGGATGTTCTATTAGAAACACAAAAATCTTAAATTAGTCTCAATTTTGATGATTTCTTGCATTCGTAAAATAAAGTTTTACACATGTCCTACTTCACTGAGATAGCAGCTGATTTCTCTGTCTGCCAAGTATCACCACTGAAAGGGAAATTTACCTACCCCTAAGGGGTTAGCAGAGTTCACTGTCAAATCACACTCTGGTCTCAAGTTCACACAGCAGCATGTTTTATTTTCTTAGGACACTCAGAAATTTGGATAATAAGAGACAAGAGAAGACCATGCCTTCCACAATCTTGGATTCCCTTTCTTCAGGAAAGATTTCTAAAGGTTTTCCTATGCCCTTCCTGGATTCCCCAATCCAGCTTCAGAAGAGCTCAGCTGTTTCCCCTTAAGGATCTGACAAGCCCCAATCCAGACTCCATGAAGCTCTCCCAACTATCCCCATGCTTTATTCATTATATGCACAAACAAATGTTGAATAAAATTACTTGTCTGTATTTGAGTGAGAGATACACCACTGGAATTCAAGTTGTTGCTGATAAAACCTAGATTGTGGGTTATGGTGATAGAATAAGTGAACTTAGTACAGTAGCTGACACAGAGTAACTACTTGATTAAATGAGCTATTTTCATTATTAGTTATCTTGATGAGAACACATAATTTTAGGCTAACAGAATATAAAGGGATTCCAATAAATACTTTCAGTATTCAATCCTAGCATTGCTTCATTTATTTCTTCTCTTGCTCCAACCACGGAGAGAAACGACATAATTAGCAACCAGGAAACTACAGAATCAAGACCCCTCATTGTTATAAGGCTTTCAGACAAATCTAAACCACTTCACTAAAAGTCACTGGTGTTATCAAGTCTTGGGAGACAGAGAAGCCACCAGGATCCTCTGCCAGCTTCCTCCAAAGTCAAGGTTAAGATGTGCTGAGATTGACAGCTGTTTATCAGAGCTTCAAGAGAACCGCCATGACATCCTCCAGCCAATCAGCTCCCCACCTACTGGTTCCTGCTATTAATGTGGTTCTTGCCATCACAGCTTTCACAGGAAGCCACTTCATGGGGAGAAGGGCAAATGTTGACAGCAGATGCAGCATGCCACAGGAAACTGGAGCCTTTGAGGCAGGACTGAATACCTGGTGCCCGGTCAACCTCAGAATCCTACCACACACACCACATGTGGGCACTGGCAATGTCACAGAAGGAGAAGGAAGAACAACATGGTTTAACTACTGAGAATACCGGTACCCTGAGAACAGCAGTTCTCAATTGAAACCTCAGCCTGAAAGAAGATGTTTACAGAGAGCAGGTGATACTCCAGACTAAATGTGGGATACCTAATCCTGCAAGTGTCCTGTGGTCATTGGTTTATTTTTGTTGTTCTTGTTCACCAAAAAGAAACCGCAGGGATTATTCTGCATGCCACTAGTGACCTTACAAATAAAAGAAGGCAACTGATTATGAGAATAAGTTTCCATTCCTTTCTTCCTCCCTTCAATTGCCATTCCCTAAAATCTCCCATGCCAGGCACTCTAAC